GCAAGTCGAGTGTGCATGCCTGGTATTACTTACATTGTGGGGACGGAAACATGTTTACACAGTCACGGTGAGGGAACATGGCCTTTGATGTAAATCACTGAATTTTAGGGTGACAACCTGGGTTAAGGTTAGGATACGTGTTAGACTTAGGCAAGTAGTGGTTATGGTTAAGGTTAGTGAAAGTCTGCAGGAAATGAATGTAAGTCAGTGCAAAGTAAATGACCAATAAAAACAAATGTGTGTGAGGAGAGCTCAGGACAAACCCTAATTACTGTTGTATAATGGACTTACTGTTTTACAGCAACATAAAAGGCAAAAAGTCAGATAAAGCATCCTGGATTCAAGGATGGCCCCTTTTAATCTTACCAGACAACAGCAATGCATTTCTTCCCACCTCTGTCAGCCAGGAAGTACAATATACCACTCTGGCATCCAGCACAGCGGTGCTCTGCTTCCACATCTGGCTTTGCTGTATTTTCCACAGTTGCCATTTTCTCAAGCAATCATCTGAGGATGTTGCTTTATAGTTTGGATCAGATGCCCACAGGAATCTCTGGGTGTATCTCCTGAAGATACACAGAAAGTGTGGCTCTGGAGATGGGTCTAAATTACAGTATAATCCAATCTGTAGCAATGGTCTACCCCATTACACTGCTCTCCACCCATTTTTGTCACTGGTACATATTTTCAGAGTGTGTGAGCTGTCTGACTTATCAAACCACGTCAGTCTCTCCACAAGTATGAAACTGAATACAAATATATACACACCCTCTATTTCATCTACTTAACCTGATCCACCTGCAATCATGTCTGGGATATTTCTGCATATTGTGTTGAATACTGTTTGGCCATGTCAGTCACATAAAATAACTACATTAAAAGTGCATTTGCAATACATAATTTAAAGCCATTCTTATGTACTGTACTTCAAATATTACAAGTTTAAAATAACAGAACCAGACACTAGATCAGTGTCTTTCCATAATGACAATATTAGTAGAATGCAGAGTGTAGTCCTGGATGTCAATGTGAGATTTTTAAATACCAACACCATATGTGAGTTTCATTACCAGTACCAAAACAAGACTTTTTTTCAGTACCTTATTTTGACAGATATAAATATGCTTTTCTCCCAAATTCCTTTCATTTAATGAAATAATCCAAATTTACTAAAACATATCAGTGGTTAATGGTGTCTTGTTAAAGCAGTCGTGAAAGGATAGTGTAAAGGAGGGCGTGTCTCCAACACCTTTTCCAGTTTAATGAATATATTATCATAATTTATCATCTGAGAACTAACTACTAATGGACTAACGCTGTTTGCTGGTCATTTGCAAATACTTTTTATTAGCACGTCTGTGTTTGTCTGCGTTAATGCCACATTTGCTTATGTACAGGTCAGATAGCTGTGGCAGTTCTTCCCAGCTCAGTGTGTTTGAAAAGGAAAATCTATTTATACAGCATATCTGCAAGAGCTAGTTTCCTGTTTGCGCTGTCAGAGATCTGGTCTGTCTGTTGCGGCAGGCTGGAGGCGCTTTAGGCTCATTCCCCCTGGTGAGACTCTATCCCAGCAGGCTTAGTGACACAGGGCTAGGCAGCTGCCACAAGGCTGGATAGGGATGGGATAAATTGTCCACAATAATTAAGTACACCTCAAACAAATGGTATTTGACAATCTGGGATTAGTCAACACCCACACAGTAAATCTTTTCAAGCTGAACTTAAAAATGTAAGTTTAAAGTTCCTCTGCTGCCTTGAAAAATTCAGTAAACTCAGCTTAGGTTAAATATTTTGTTAAATGTTGCATGACTTTTGAAAATGTAACTCAGTTAACTGAAACCAATAAAACAAGTTCAACAAACTAAAGATGTTAAATTGACTGAATTTTCAGTCACATGCAAAGTTGTTACAAGTAGATTAGCTTTTCTTTTAAGTTAATCAGTTTACAGTATAGATGTGTGTGCAGGGTGGTATGCACCATGACTTAAAATAATACGTATTACAGACATTAATGGGCTTTTCAAGCTACTAAAACTGTTAAACAATGTGTGCTGGGCAGTCTGCTAGTTTTGTTTCTTTAAAAACCTAATGAGTTGAGTGAACTCTTAACAGATCATTTATTCAACTCACCATTTCAAGTCAAAATATCTCATGTCAGAACAACAGAACATGTTTATAAGTCTTAAAATGGTCTGAAAATAAAAGCTTAATATTCTAACTTGAATTACCTAAATTTTCATATTTACTGTAAGTTAATGAGAAAAGTTTGATGACACTAAATTTGTTAAAACTGGCAATGAAGCATACTCAAAGTGCTTCACATTACTTTCCATTCACTCATACAAGCATTCAGACACTGATGGCACAGCCACCAGGGGCAACTTGGTTTTAGTGTCTTGCCCAAGGACACGAGAAGCTGGGATTCAAACCGCCAGCCCTGCAGCTAGGGGGCAACCCCCTCTACTTCCTAAACCACAGGCGCACTTGTTTTGTTCATTGCTTACTTTTATTAATAACAATGTGAGACTCTGACATGCATTAACACAGTTGGACAGCCGAATAATGGCTCCTCCTAGGGAATATGTCACATTCATATGGTCAGTGTTTTTCACAGTCTTTCATTGAATATCTTGCATAATGTATTTCGGTCTTGTCACGCTGATCAACAAAAGATTTCAAAGTGTCGGGGAATATGAATAGAAGAATGTTGCTCTAAGCCCACTATTTCTTAGACATACACATACACCATTAACTCAGAGGAGTTCGTGGTGAGGTCTGATCTCCCCGAAATTGTGTACTCAGCTGTGTGTAACACCTAGGAGCCAACTATTGACAAGTATTGTAGCAGTACACAGCATGAGTGGCCCCAGGGCTGTGTACACGACTAAAGCATTGCACAGTACTATTGACCCACTTAACAAAGAATAAATGACTGCTGTTGTTTATCTCCTCATATTTTTCTGTGAAAAGTGGGGTCATATTCCCCTTTTCTACCCTCAGCCTTTTTTTAACTTAGATCTCTAACTCCACTGCTTTTTCAGTTCTTTGCTTTTCATTTTTTTAATGTATCACTCTGAATAACCTTTCCCTTCCATTGTACTGCTCCAGATAGTTATGTAATCTCAGTGCCGATGTGAATTGGGACCCCACATTGACAGCTTAGTCCTCCAATGTCCTTCTCCAACCAGTGTGCCAACCCCTGGCAGCTGGGAGGCACGACACAATATGACATCCCAAAAATGTCTGATTCCATAAAGACCGTGTGTGTGTGTGTGTGTGTGTGTGTGTGTGTATGTGTATGTGTGTGTGTGTGTGTGTGTGTGTGTGTGTGTGTGTTCAGATCACTGAAGTACCTATGTCTTACATTTGACTCAGCCATCAACACTAACTTAACTGTCAGTTGGTACCTACCAAATATATGTTGCATAACCTGGCACGTGTGGGTTCAAAACAGTCTTGCCAGTTGATTTTATGACTCACATTGATTGCAAACCAAAAAAAAAAACAGAAGACTAGAACATGGGGATGTAATACACACTTAGCTCTAGACTGACAAACAACACACATTCCTTGCTGACATGACTCTTCAAATAAGATGGGTAGGATTACAGTGATACCTGGTTGCCTGATGTGAACTTTAGAGGAATTAAAAAAAAAAAACGTGACCTGTAATACCAGTAAAGGCATTTTCAGCTTGCTTTTGTCTGGTGTGGGTGTGGCACAATAATTCTGAACAATTGGTTAATGATAGTAAGTAGCTTTGTAAGCAGGTTTGCTTTTAATAAGGCTGTTTGTGCTCTTCATGCGCTAAAGCACTTCTTGTCAAAATAAAATCCCTGTTAATAATTTAAAATAAAGTATCCAGAAAGCACAAATAGCAAATACATCACAGACACAACTGGAAAAAACACCTCTGTCGAATTATGATGTAAAAGAAAATGATATTAATAAAAATACATAAAAGTAAAAATCTAAATAAATATTGAAGTCTGTCACATTCATTAAACTGTGGACAAGGCAGGAGTTGATGCATAAGAGACAGTCTAGAAATTAACCAGTACAGTGGTGTGTTTATGACCTCCTGCTGCCATGAGCCCATGTTTACTGGCTGGCATGAGTTGCCTGGGTCCCATGGTCTGTATCAGTCCACATTGTGACCGTATCAGTCACAATGTGGACTTTCTGGGATAGTCTGCCTTCAGTTCTGTAGCACCGTCCCCTCCGGATGGTGTTACAGGTCACTGTACGCCAAAACAACTAGACACAAGGACAGTTTCCTCCCTCGTGCTGTCACTCTGATGAACACTTAACCCATGACTGTATAACAGAAGGACAACACTCCGTTCAATATCTGTAAATATACTTTTGTATATATCTATCTGAAAAACTGCATCTAAACTCTGTATATATTTCAATACAAGTACTTTTTTTTATAATGCACATTCCGTTTTCTTGTTTGCACATTTTCTATTTTTTTGTTTTCAGTCTTATCTTGTTTACGTGTCTACTCGATGCCTTACAGAAGAACATTGTACATACTCATTGAGCCACTGTGCCGGAGTCAAATTCCTCGTGTGTGCAACACACCTGGCCAATAAAACTGATTCTGATTCTGATAAGCTTTAAGGCAACTCCACCTTGCCATCTAGTGAAGTATTTTTGTAGTGCAATATTATGTTTCTGCTCAAAAATAATTAACCTACACCCCCATCTACTGGTGCATTGGTGAAGTGCAACGTTAAAACCCAGAGAAAGACGACCTCTATAAAAATGTGCAGTTGTTTGAAACAATAATTGTCATAAAGAATAGCAAAATATTGTATTATTTTTAAAGCTACATTCACATACATTAAACATTTTACTTATAATATTTATAGAAGCTTTACCCCTGTGAGCTCCCCCACACATCAATTCACAAGAAGTATGAGATGGAGAGTGACACATAGCCACCATCAGTCTGAGAAATCAATGTTCAAACCTGAAATCTGCTCATTATTACTGACCTTCAGTCCGTCCGTCCTCCAATCATCAACACTGCTCCAATGGTCGTGGACAGCGCCCTAAACGGGGAGGAATACCAGTGACGTGCGGTCAGGGGAGGCAGGTGAGGCAGAGCCTCCCCTGTCAATCTTGAAAAGAAAAAAAAAGTTAACCATAAAATATAATAA